TGGAGGGAGGGAGGGAGGGAAGGAGGGAGGGAGGGAGGGAGAAGAGGGCTAGAGGAAAGGGAAGGAAGAAAAGAGGAGAGAAGAAAGGGTGGGAGAGAAAAGGAAGGAAGGAAGCAGGAGTGGCAGAGGGAAGAGGAAAAGAAGCAGGAGGAAAGGAAGGAGGGATGGAAGGAAGGGGAAAGAGTCCCAGCATTTGGGGCTACTGAGGGAAGTAAAACCTCTGAAAGGTGGGGCTAGGTGGCATTTTAGGTCGTTGGGGTGTGCCTTTGAAGGGAATTGGGGACCCTGAGTCTTTCTCTCTTCTTTGAACTCAGCTGTGGGTGAGTAGATTGTTGCTATTACTCCAGCCTAGCTGGTGAGGTCCAGGCCAGTGAGAGAGTCTGTCTCAAAAGAATAGCCTCTGGTCTAGACACACACACACACACACACACACACACACACACACACACTTGCACCCATGTTGGAAAGCGTGGGTTTTATGCTGAGTGCAGCAAGGCAGTAGTAACAGGGCCACTTGCATTTCCTGAGTCCCATGGCTGGGATGATGGCGGATGGACAGTGGGAGGAACTAGAGAAAGAAACCATCTCCTAACCTAGCAAGAGGCAAAGGGGGCTGGTGTGAGGCTGCAGAGGAGAGAGGGGGGTCAGTTGTGTATTTGAACACAGAAGTCTGGGCCTTGCTGATAGAACCTAGACAGAAGCCGAGGAAGGGGGTGGAAGAGCCTGAGTCAGGGTTAACTCTTGCCTCCTCACTGGCTGGATAAACCTAAGAAGGGACTCACTTGGAGAAGAATCAGCTTTGAGAGCCACATGCACGGCTCAGGCTAACCCGTAGGAAACAGTGAACCTCTGAGGGAGACCTCACGCCTGCCGTGGACAGAGGTGATGTGGAAATGCGGATGCACACAGCGATGTCTTCAGAACATAGATGACGTTTAGCCTCTGGAGTGGATAGTGGAGGGGAGAGGAACAGAAAAAAAAGAGGGGGAAAGGAAGGGAGAGGAGAGGAAACCCTGGCTTGAGATGAACAACCCCTTACCTCCAGCCAGCCAGAAGACAGGCAGGACAGGGAACTTCAGCAAAGGGACCTAAAATGCAGCTGGGGCTGGGAGACAGATGCAGGGAGGAGAGAAGGAAGAAGGGAGGGGTGGAAGAAGGGAGGAGTGGAAGAAGGGAGGGGAGAGGAGAGGGAGAGCAGGAGGAAATGAAGGAAAGAAGAGAGTCAGGGAAAGAAGAATGGAAGGAAGCAGGAGAAAGGCAAGGAAGGGAGGATAGAAGTGAAGGAGGATACAGGATTCACCTGCCTTTGACTCCCATGTCCTGCGTCCTGTGCGAGCGAGCGCAGGGATTACAGATGTGCTGGGTCTGGCTTAATGTGGATTCTGGGGATTCACACTCAGGTCCTCACCCTTTTACCCAGTGAGCCATCTTGTCAGCACCAAACAGGAGTGGTTGTTTCTAAAGATACTCTTTTTTTCATGCTTATAGTATTGACACACATGCTCCTGTTTTAAAATTGGGCAATGAGAGGAATCCCCGCACTTGTGAATGTCGCTTGTGTTTGTAATGTCCCCCTAGTTGCTCCAGGTCGTGATGGGATCCCAAGTTTCATGCCTCTCCAAGATCTGAAGCTCCTGCCACTGTTTCTGACTGGCTAAAGCTTTCCTGTGTTCTTGTCTGGCCTCACCCAAGTTGTGTCTCCCTTGAAGGAGCTTGTCTCAGGAAGGGGTGGGGGGAGGGAGGTTAGAGCCAGGAGAGGTTGGGTTTGAAGTTGGCAAGGGTCTGTCTGGTCAAGGTGGAGCTGACCAAATGGTGTGTGGGGCCCAAGAAAGAAGTGGTCTACACAGAACAGAAGCATGTGCGGGAGAGTGATTGCATGCGGGACTGATGTGGATGTCACACTGTATGTTCCTGGTCTACCTGTCCCTAACTCATGCAGATGAATTCTTTTGCATACAAGCATGGTGTACGTATGTATATTTAAATGTATTTGAGTATGCTTAGGTGCGGGAGTGCATGCACAAGTATGAACACGCATGTGGAGGCCCAGGGGTGATGCTGAGTGTTTTCCTTAGTTACGCTCCA